CGCTGCCTAATCGTTACACACGGCTCACTCTGTTTGTCTCAAAACTCTTTTTACTCTTTTAAAGTTGTTTTGTTATCCAAATTTTCTCAAATCCTCAGTTTGAGTTCAGATATGCCCGAAGATGCATCCGAATCCCTCAAACCAAGGCTCTGATACCAACTTGTAACACCGTAAAAATTCAACCAATTTTTTTCTTTTCAAAAACATAATAATCGATTCATAATTACTTTCATAAACAATGTATCAATATTATCTTAATACAAAATCCCAAGATCATATCATAATAAACTCCGATGAGTGTGTACGAATCATGTCGGCACCTTCCCGCGCTCCTCACTAGTACCTGCAACACATAACACAAAACACTGTATACACGAAGCTTAGTGAGTTCCCCAAAATACAACACATATCACATACTAGCCACTCGAGGCTATAACTCTGCGGGCCCTTGGGCCCTAACTCTGTGGACCCTCTGGTCTTAGCTCTGTGAACCTTCCGGTTCTCACTCTGATATACTCTGGTATACACATGGCATAAATCACATAGAAATAATGCAGTGCAACACATCACATAAATAGCATACAATAACTCTATCACATAACTCTAATTACCACTCAAGGTAAGTATAGTGAGAAGACTCACCTCAGATGTCTCGGTAAATACCTGACTCGGTAGCAGTATCGTCCAGCCTCCGCCTAACCACATAAAGTAAATACACTCATAAATATAACTCTCGAGACTATACCCAACCCTCTCTTAGCACCCTCAGAAGGGTAAAAGACCATTTTACCCCTCTCTTGACTCAAAGACCCCATTGTTGACCAATCCCTAAAAGTCAACAAAGTCAACGGTCAAACTTTTGACCTGACTCGTCGAGTGCACTTGGGCGACTCGGTGAGTCTACACGTGTCCACTATCTCTCTAGCATCTCCTGACACATCGAGCCTTCCCCCTGCTCGATGGGTTACACCTGGCATGAATCGCGGGGCCACCCAAACTCAACTCGTCGAGTTCAATTATAAACTCGGTGAGTTCCACCTATAATCCTCTACCCCCTTCTGACTCACTGAGTCATTCCCCCAACTCGACAAGTTACTCACTGAGTGACTTCCGGGAAACCCTAGCCCTACTCGCCGAGTCTGTTCTTAGGACTCGGCGAGTTCATGCCATGCTTATTCAGAAATGACCTCCTGAGGTCAGATCTGTTCCTTTAACCCATAGATCTGCCCTCCTTGGTCATAATAAACACGTAAAGTTTGGATCTTGATGCCCATGCAAAGAGCCTATGACTCTATTTGATGAAATGGCCTCAACATGCCATCCAAAACTCATATCTCTTAAAGAAACTCAATAAAGATCAAGGATTTAAGGTCTCTGGACTTCTTTGGATCCAGATTCAAAGCCTCAACACAAGAAGGGACCATTGGCTTCACAAATCATACTCTAAAAGGGGGCTAGAAACCCTAACTCTCAAAACTTACACCAAAATTGAAAGAGGATCAAACATTTACCTCAAGATGAAGTCCCTAAACTCTGAAATCCACAGATTAGCAGCCTCTTCAGTTTCCTCTTGCCTTGGCCACCTTCTTCTTGCAAAAACACCCACACAAAGATCAAAAATGGCTTCCTCTCTCTCTCAAAACGTTCACATACTCTGGGGTTTCTCTCTATCAACTGGTAGCCGCAAATGAAGGCCATAAGTTCCTTTAAATAGGTCTCAATCCCCGGAAATTAGGGTTTTATTAAACAGCGCGGACTTGCCGAGTCCATTAGTCGACTCGTCGAGTCCGGTCATTAACCCGGATGGAAATTCGCGACTCTACTCGGCGATTCTAAGCATCAACTCGCCGAGTCTCTCTCAAAATCTCCAAAATAATAAATAAATAATGTACCTGGAAATCCGAATGTTACAAATTTTGGTTTGAAGTACTCAAAAGGAAAGGAAAATGTCACTCTAAATGGACACACAAATAGTGATTTAACAAATGATGTCAATAATCGAAGAAGCACATGTGGCATGACGTTCTACATGAATGAAAATTTGATTGCATGGGCATCACGGAAGCAGAGGTGTGTGGCACTTTCTTCCTGTGAAGCAGAATTTATGGCTGCCACCATGGTAGCTTGTCAAGGAATTTGGCTGAGAAGGCTACTCAGTGAGATAACATGCCAAAAGGTGCCACCTGTAGAGATGAAGGTAGAAAACAAATCATCTCTTGATCTGATGAAGATTCCATTTTTTCCATGGCAGAAGTAAGCACATAGACATCCGTTTCCATTTCATCCGAGAATGTATTGAAAATGGAGGTATCACAGTCACTCATGTATGGAGCAAGGAACAGAAGGTTGATATTCTAACCAAGTCACTGGGAAAACTGAAGTTCGTGGAGATGTGAAGTCTTCTTGGAGTGTTAAAGGTATGATTTATGAATTAAGGGGGGAAATGATGAATAATTTAGAAATTACTTTAGTTTCCTTACTGCACGTTTAGTTTTTGAATAATTCAATAGTCATGTGGGCTAAGTCCGAGTCTTTAGTAAGTAGATTTAGTTGCAGGTTTTTAGCACTATTTTAAGTTTAAATAGATTGCACTTATGTACGTTTTTTATACACCACCTCTTTTTCAATTCACTGAATAAAAAGCTCTAAGCGCTAAGTATTTGTGCTCTGTTTTTCTTTGTTACTGTTTCATTGCCATTCTCAAGTTACAGGCTTGTGAAAAGCCAACATGTTGTTCAATTCACATCTAGAAGTACCTTACTAGTTGAATAGCCCAATGGTTTAGTCAACTTTCTAAGCCCGAAATTGAGGTTTGTTGTTGGAAGAAGGATAGAAATGTATAGTTTTGGTCTTTGCATTGTGAATGAGTCATAAACACTTTTGAAAAATTATAATTTCTAGCTTATTCAAAATGACTTTTCAAAGGGTAATAGAAAACATTTTTGAAAAGTGTTTATTAAGTTGCTATTTTTTTTTAAGATTATTAGATTTTAAAACTTAAAACTCAATCCCAAACACCCTCTAAAATTTGGATGAGACAAAGCTTTAAGCAATAATGAGTGTTAATTTTGGCTCATGTAGTTTAATGTGTTTATTAGTTTGGTCCAAGCGTAAAATCGTTATATATGTAAAAGATAACAGTCATTAAGCTTAACGATTCAGGGACTAAAGTTGCAATTAAATGAAACTTAGGAATAATTTTGCTAAGAAAAACAAAACTTAGACGCAAGCTGTCCAATCTGACATACCAAAAGGAACCATTTGTGTCATTTAGTCTTTATTTTAGAAACAAGCATGTGTTGATTATACTTCCAACAGCTCTTTTAGGTGAAGTGCCCGGCATCTTCTTCCATGGGCACGTGCAGCAGGCGGCTCCGGTATCCAAGTGGCAAGTTGGTTTCTTCAGAAACTTTCTAGCTGCCGGTCAAGGCCCTGAGCGGTTTTATACAAAGTGAAGACAAGAGTTTTCAATCACATACAATATTTTATTGAGTTTGTTTATGTTATATACTGTCACATCAATAACTAAAACGTCTCAATAAATCTCATATATTTTTAATGAGCTTTTTAACAAACTTATTTACAAAGAAACCGACTAAAACTAATATTTTAACGATCATTAATGATTTTTTTTTAAATGAGCCTTTTAACAAACTTATTTCCAGGGAAACTGAATAAAATAAGATAAAAAAAAAAATTAAAAAAAAAAAAAAAAGTTTTTTATAATTAAAATACTTATTTACCTTTTTTTTTTCGAAAGAAATATTTTAGATGCTATTATAGGATTTAAAGAACGATGAATCACAAAATATTAAAATAGATGGTTTTGTCATAATTTGGACAGCCTTTTAGAAAAACATTAAAAATGATCATTTATTTAACGAAATACCACATTTGGTAAAAATAACATAATTTTTTGTGAGATGATTTGTTTTACTTAACAGAATGACCAATTTAAATGACCAATTGAAGAAAATAAGTATTTTAACGAGATGACCATTTTTTTAAAATGATTTGATTACCACATACTTGAATTTTAAAGAAATGGCCAACTTTAAATAATGCTCATTTTGTTTTAAATAACATGATACATGTTTTTGCGGCAAATTTATATATACAAAAAAAAATCACATAATTACAAAAAAAAAAAATCGGTAAATTTATATATACAAAAAAAATCACATAATTACAAATTGATATAAATTATATCACATTTTTAATTGATATTTCGAGCACTTAATAACAAAAAATCAACAAAATTTCAATAGTTTTATGCACGATCAGAACCAAAAGCTCGCGCATTCCCTTAGCACGCCTTCAACAACCCTGCCCATAATATAATTTGACATAAAACTTATCTTACATTATTTTATGATTAGAAACAAGAAAGATATTCAGATAATAATATAAAGTTTCCGACTGTAGTCATTATAGTGTTAGCCCTTTTTTAAAAAAATTTACCAGAAACCTAGATTTTAAACTTCCTCGTTTAATCATTTTGGTGTGAACGCCTTGAAGTGGAACAATCATATTGACCCACTAACCATCACCAAACATCCCATTGTATAAACAATTCATTAAAAATGATATGTTAATAAAATAATACAAAAAACAACTCCCATGTCAATCAATCCATTTCAAAGAGTGCCCATAGGATTTGAAGATTTTCATTGACTCCTATATACAACCCCATTAGCATTAACCACTTGCGATCACCTCTATCCCCTCAAGTCTATAAATATGGAAGAGCGATATAATCAAACTCACCAACTAAAACATGAAGAAGTCTCAACTAAATTCTTCTGTCTTCCTCTTCGTTCTAATTCTTTCATTTTCCGTTTCATGGGCAGCATTATCTTCAATTCTTGATGTTACACCAGGTTCTCAAGATTTCTTAGGCTGCCTACAATCCAACTCCAACAATGTCACCTCCATCTCTCAACTCACGTTTACCTATGGCAATGCTTCTTTCCTACCCACTTGGCAAGTGCATGTCCAAAACACTAGGTTCCTTAAACCTTCCACTCCTAAACCATCAGTCATTGTGACACCTGTGGATGAAACACTCGTCCAAACGACACTACACTGTGCAAAGAAACATGGCTACGAGCTCAGGATCAGGAGCGGAGGCCATGACTACGAGGGTCTATCGTACACTGCTGATGTTCCGTTTGTTATGCTTGATTTCACCAACATGAGGTCTATAGACGTGGACGTAGCAAACAGGACTGCATGGGTCCAGGCAGGCGCCGCACTTGGTGCACTTTATTACGCTATTTCTCAGAAAACCGACACTTTGTATTTCCCGGCGGGTGTTTGCCCCACGGTGGGTGTTGGTGGGTACATGGGCGGCGGTGGCTATGGAAACCTGTTGAGGAAATACGGTACCGCTGCTGATAATGTTATTGATGTTCGTTTCATGGATGTCAAAGGAAATATTCTTGACAGGAATTCAATGGGCGAAGATTTGTTTTGGGCAATTAGAGGAGGTGGAGCTTCCAGTTTCGGAATCGTTCTTGCATGGAAGTTGAGGTTGGTTGCAGTTCCAGAAAAAGTAACCGTTTTTATACTGAACAAAACGTTGGAAGAAGGTGCTACCCAGATTTTCCATAAATATCAATATGTTGCACCAACTATTGATAGAAATCTGCATATACGAACTCAGGTGTTCGCTGAATATATCGGCAACACCACCAAGAAAACCATCCGAATTATGTTCGAAGGTATTTATCAGGGCACAAGCGACACATTGCTTCCATTGTTGGACGAAAAGTTTCCGGAGCTCGGTGTTACACGTGAGATCTGTGAAGAAATTAGAATGGTCCAGTCGACCCTTGTGTTCTGGGGTTTACCAAGCTCTACCCCAACTGAGATTCTCACAAACCGATCAGCCATAGCAAAGTTGAACAATAAAAGTAAGTCAGACTATGTTCGAACGCCGATCCCCATAAATGGGCTCAAAAAGATATGGAGAAAGCTCATGGAAAACGACCAATCAGCGCTTCTTATGATCAATCCTTTTGGTGGAAGGATTGCTGATTACTCAGAGACAGCAATTCCATATCCACATAGAGCTGGAGTCTTGTTACAGATGCTTAAGACTGTTAATTTTAACGGTCAAGCTTCAGACACCACCCCTACATCACTCAGGAGGATGGCATGGCTTCGAAGTTTGGATGAGTTGTTGACGCCTTATGTGTCAAAGAATCCAAGGGAGGCATATTCCAACTACAATGATCTTGACTTTGGTGTTGGAAGTGCTACTTATGAAGAAGCAAGTCTTTGGGGTGAAAGGTACTGGAAGAGGGACAATTTCAAGAAGTTGATTCAGATCAAGGCCAAAGTTGATCCCTTGAATTTCTTTAGGCGCCCACAAAGTATTCCAGTTTTCTCGACACCTCTCTCCGACATGTGAAGCCCTTTGATTGATGAAAGTTCCAAAGTATGAACTTAGTTTTTTTTTTGTCTTGAATAAACTAGCAATAGGTCTACTTTTTGTTAGTTTCTTTCTTTTTTCTTAACGTTTCCGACGTTATAAATGAATAAATGCACATTCTTTTTCTGTTTAATTTAGGCGTATCTACTATCTATATTAAATTAGCATGTTCCAATAAATGAAAATAGACACCTCAATGTTTTTTAGATTTATATTTTATCGTTTTGTTGTTTAAAGATCGTGGTTGATATAATTAGTTCCCATATATTTACTTTTTCAGAATATATCATAGATAATATATCATAGATTTGAGGAAATCATTTGAAAATATGTGCAACTAGATATTCCCACTGCCTTCAAGAAAATGCACGCGTATACAGATACACGGCTCTCTTATCCAAGTGGGAATTAAATTGGTTTCTTTACAAAGGTGTTACTATAATTACTATAATTATGGAGGATATGAAATGCATCAACTTTATAAATCTTTAATTAGTAATATAAAATCGAAAAATAATAATTATAACGTTATTTTTAATTATTTTCACTTAAGGTTACCAAGTTGGAAAGCAAGATCTCTCTTTTGGGGATAGAGTGACATTAATGAAATCAGTCTATGGAAGTCTCCCAACTTACAATTTTTCTTTATTTTTAGCCTCAATGGGTATCTTAAATGAACCGGAGAAAATCTAGAGAGGTTTCTTACGGGGCCGCACGACTGATGAAAAGAAAAGGATTACACCGGATTTCGTGGGATAAGGTGACTGCTTCCAAAAATGATGGTGGTTTGGGGATAGGCTCACTAAAGGCTCACAATATTGGTCTAATAATGAAATGGGTTTGGCGGCTCCGAACAGAAAAGGAAGCATTATGGTGCAAAGTTATAGTGGGGCTGCATAACCAGGTGAGAAAACGGGGGCATTTCTAGCAAAGAAAACTTTACCGGGCGTGTGGCAAAATATCTCTAAGGTCTTTGATTACACATCAAGACTTGGAATTTCTGATGATGATTTATTCCATATCCATACAAGATCTGGAAATAGTATGTTGTGGAAAGATAAGTGGATTGACTCCATCTCGCTACAGACCCGGTTCCCAACATTATACTCCTTAGAATCACGGAAAACATGCTTTGTTTATGAAAGAAAAGCAAGTGAAAGCTTATGTTGGGCCTGGAGATCAAAGATTACCTCCATTGAAGCTTTGAATGAGTTATATGAGCTTGTCTTCATGTTGAATAATTATAATTTCCTACAAGGAAATGATATGTTCAAGTGTATAATCAATAATGATGGTGGTTTCACGGTGGAAGTAGTCAGGAAAATTATAGACTTGAAGTTGATAGCAACAGGTGGAGTAAACTTCATGTGTAATAAGATTACACCCTTAAAAGTCTTGTGCTTCGTTTGGAGAGCTGTGGGGGGCAGGATCCTTATAGTTGTTGAATTATTGAGGAAAAGAGTTCAAGTTCCATCTATTAGCTGCCATCTATGTGATAGTGGAATGGAAACAGCAGATCATGTCTTAATTAATTGTAGATTCGCAGAATGTGTGATGGAGGGGATTTTAAAATGGTGTAATATTCTCTTTAGGTACTTCACCAATATTGGGGAACTTATCAACTCTGCAGCGAGTTGGGCGGATTTCCCCAGGAAACGAAAACTGATAATTGTGTAACATCCGGACTCCTGGGTATTAATTTGAAGTTTAAATTTCACATTTTTAAAGCCTACTCGATGAGTTGGTTGCCCCCAACTCATCGTGTAGACATGGATATGGCCGCATGATTTATGGAACCTACGCGACGAGTTGCAGGACCCCAACTCGACAAGTAGAGGTTGTGCATGAAAACCCTAATTTTTAAGGTATGCACCGTATTTAAAGGACCTTAAGTCCTTCCTTCCATCCTCCTTACCACCTTTTCACGACCAGAAGCAAACCCTAATCGATCTAACCCTATTTTGAGTGTGTGTGTGTGTGTGAGGCTGAAAGTGTGTTTTTGGTGGATTTCTTGAAAGGTTTGAACAGCTAGGAGCTTGGAACGAGAAAAGACTAGTAGATCCATCATCTACATCGTGTTAACACTCATTGGGAGGTAGCAAGTCTTTACGTTGGCTTTCCATCCCTTGGATCTCTTCTATTACAAGTTTATGGTCATTTTGGTGCAAAATGGGGGTCATTCTCGGGTTGGAGCTTGTCACAAGGATATGGCTTCAGATCTAGACTCCTCTAGGCCCTCTTTGACATAAAGCCTCAAGTGTTATGAAGCTTTAGCCCTTCTTCATGCCCTAAAACTCTTCCTAAGCTTAGTATGGACAGTTTTAGCCTCATGAGACCTTGCATGCACGTAAAGTTAGTGTCACACCCCCGAACCAGACGGCGGAAACGTCCGGGGGATTGCGCGTGGCTTTATCCTTGTATTGTCATCACATAGTATATAATTGAAACATAACATAATCATCATCACACATGTAATATAACAACATACATTGTTTACATCGAGTATTGTGTTTAAATATTAGATGCCAAAAATGTGTAAAGTATGATGAAACAAAATATAGCAAAACATATGTTAGATTATTCAGCCCAACCTGCTTCGATGGTTTCCTGAGAATACAAGTTAATTTAAAAAGGTCAACATAAAAATGTTGATGAGTTCATAAGCATGTTTTAGAAAATGATTTGTATAGCTTTGTGATCACAAAAAAATCATGTATTTTCTTAAAATAGTTTAGTTTGTTGTGTCCAGTCTTGTATTAATGCATGTGTGTTTTTGTTTGAAAGAATTCCAAATGGTAAATGAAGATATTGTAGAGAGAATGCTTCCAGAAAACCCTATGTTTCCTGTAAAAGGAATGTCGGTACATTAACCCCCGAGGTCGAGTACCGGTGCGAGTCGTTATAAAATACTAATTAATGATAATTTCGCCTATCTTGGCATTGTTGAATGCCGACGAATAATAGAATAAGGTTTTTGTTCACCCTAGACTGATGTAGTCTAACTGTAGCGAATAGCTCAGGTGTGGGGTGTCATCCCTGTATAGATCTATACACAAACCCTTGCTCTCCCTCCAAGAGACTCTGGTTATAACTACATGTTACGATCGTACACTCAGTAGGTGTCAACCGACATGGCTCACTAGATCCTTGATCGAATTCACACGAAGAAAAACATATAAAACTCATTACATGCCCATTGAGTCATGTAAACAAACCACGGAGGCTCGCTAAACATGTAAATCTTTTCTAGGCCCAAAAGGAACGAGATTAAATAACATGGGCCCAAAATATATGTAAAAGGACAACCGAGACCCATTTCACATGTAAGGTATTTACGGCCCCAAATAGCATGCAAATAGTATCCAAGGTCAGTCACGCATGTTAATGGGTTAATGAGGCCTAATAAACATATAAATATTATTCAGGACCTATCAAGCATATAAATGAGCTACTATGGCCCAATAACATGAGAACGAAAAAATTAGTCCGTTTGTTATTATTTCGCTAGTAGCGGCTGAATTATTTACTAAAATGGCATAAAAAATCCACTTTTTGTAAAAATTGACATTCTTGTCCCATTAAACCAAAAATTTACAATTAATGCCAAAGTTTAGTAAAAATAACATTTTAGGCCCCGTTTTGGACAAAATTTGCATTTAAGGCTAATATTTGTAAAAATAACATTTTTAACTCATTTTTGTGAAAACATCATTTTTGGCTTGGTTTTTGTGAAAATATTCATTTTCGGCCCATTTATAAAAAAAATCATCTTTTTGGCCCAAATGTTCATAATTTCGCAACTTTAACCCATTTTTATCAAAAATTTACATATTTGACACAACTTTCTTGAAAGTGACAATTTAACCCACCAAAGACCAAAATTTTCAACTTTTGGGCTCAAAACCATGAGAAGCCCAAATAAGGCCCATTTATGAAAATATTTACATTTTTGGTCCCTATAAGGTCTCAAATGTTGAGGTTAGCCACAATTTAGCAACACTTTCCTTTTGAACCCCCTTACTAGCCGAGAGTTACATAAACAACCCATATTTTGTCACTTTTGTTGGTTTTAGCCCCTTTCATGAAGTTTTTCTTAGATTCAAGTATCCTTGATGTATTTTAAACCCTTTTCTTATGAGATATGTTGAAATAGGTGTTATATTATACCAATATCATCATCTTTTAGTATATCTTTTATTTCATGAAGATTTCAACACATAAACACATATGTAAGTAAGGAAAACACACAAAATCATGCATACACACATAGATCTACACAAAACAACTTGTATTCTCCCCCCAAACAAGGTCAAAATCAAAAATGGCAGGTATAAACTCACTTTGCATTGAGGTTTTCAATTTTTTATGCAGAATGGATGAGATCTCGGCCCTAGATGTGTTCTTGAGGAGATTTTCGAACTTAGATGGTTCTAGGAAACATGATTCACGAAAACATGTGTGTGAGAGGAGTAATTGAGTTTAAAATGAAGTACATCATCTAGAGTTTGTATGATCTTACCACAATGTGAAGTTTGGAGTGATCTTCTTGAGAACCCACCTAATACTCATGATTATTCTTGAGAGAAGAAGAGTTGAAGAGTGTTGAATCGTTGATAGAATAGGTGTTGAATTTGAAATTTGAGAGAGGTTGGAGAGTGACTGAGACTCAGAGTTACGGAGATAGATAAGAGAGAAGAGAAAGGTTAACTTTCGAAGAGAATGATGTGAGAGTTGCATGGATACATGAACTCTTTCATGGATACCCACCAAGTATTGATGAGGTGTCACTCCATTTCCCTCCTATTTGTTTCTCTCTTGTTTTTTTATTGTTGGGCCGAGAGAAGGGTAAGTGGAAAGGAAATGAGAGAATTTAGGCCCTTTCTTGACTTAGTTCGAGTTTGTAAGGCCCAATATGAAGCTTTTTCGGCCTATTTGGCCCTTATGAGGGCTTACGGGCCAATTAGGCCCAAATATATAGTTTACGGCCCATTAGGGCTTATGAAACCATTTATAGCCCATCATGGCCCATTAGAGATAAGATGAATCATTCTAGGCCCACATGACCCAAAATGCTTTAGTTTCATGAATGTGGGTCCAATTAGAGCACAAATAGGGTTCCTTGGCCCAAATATTCAAATTGAAAGTTTATTGGTCCATTAGGCCCAATAAGAGGATCCTAGTCAATAATAAACTTGAACCGAGATTTTTAGGGTTTTTAACCCATAGATGAATATATGAGATGTATTGTATTAGGTTTTGAACTTCAATCAGGAGTTTAATTCAAATAGATGATTTCATGTTAGCATATAGCATGATATTCACTTAGAGTACAAATCTTACAACTGTTAATGTTTACATGAAAATAGAATTTCCTAGCTAAAAATGCTAGTTGTGACAGTTAGCAACTTTACGTGGTAACTTCACCCTAGGAAGCCAGATCTGGAGTTTAAAGCCATGAACTCAACTGGAATGAGCTGAATGCGAAATGACTGAAGGAACTCGACGAGTTGCATAGTCAACTCAACGAGTTGGATGGGGGTTTCTTGCTTTTTGGATTTTGCATGAACTCGGCGAGTTGGCAAGGTGACTCGACGGGTTAGTTAGGGTTTTCCCGACATTCTAGATGTTGCATGGACTCGACGAGTTACTTGGTAACTCAGCGAGTTGACTAGGTTTTCAAAACTTTTTGAGTTCTAAAGGAACTCGACGAGTCTGTAAGCCGCACTCGACGAGTTGGGTCAACATTGACTGTTGACCTTGACCTTTGACTTTGACATTGACCAAGGGTTGACCAAGTTTAACTTCTGATGGTATTTTGGTAATTTGTGTGACAACCCGAAACTTTTTCCGTTATCTTTAACCCATTTCGGTTAATAAAATGTGAATTTTATTGGAATTCCGTCAAACTCCTTAGTTTGCATGAATTATCACGCTTTATATAATTAAAATTATATACGAGTTGGAACCAAAAGTCGCGTGAAAAACCCGAAAAGTCTCAAAATCTAATAGTTTTCGGCCGAGGTGGGTGTACGGCCGTACACCTGTTTACGGCCGTATACCTGTTTACGGTCGTACACCTGTTTACGACCGTAAACCCGTGTACGATTAGTGCCAAGTGGACCCCACCACCGACCACACCCCCCAGCCTATAAATACGAGACCTCCACCTTCATTTGAGCCTTCTTGGCCGAAAACTCTCTCATTCTCTCTCTAGAACTTCCGACCGTAAACACCAAAAACACCTCTTTTCTTCCGAAAAAAATCAAAAATCGTCATTTGGGGTCGATTGAGAGCATCTGGAACACGTTTTCATCGAAACCGAGCACCCTTGTTCTTGAGTTTACGGTCGTACGCCCTTCAAATCTACAAGGACCGTAAACCCTTCAAAGAGGAGTTCACGGCCGTAAACCCTGTTCACAGTCGTAAACTGCCTGTTTAGCCGTAAACCACTCTTCACGGCCGTAAACCCCTGTTTACGACCATACACACCTCCTAAGTGGTGAAAAACCTGTTTCCTCGATTCACTCAAGTCCTGTTCCTTAACCGAAAGCAAGTGTTTTTCTAACAATTTATCTAACGAAATCACTAATTTAGATACATATATGTATTTATTTGATATTAGGATTCCGTTAACTACCATGTACAACAACTCGAGGATCTCTGTTTCCGGTCGAAGT